ACGGTATCCAAGTAAACAGCAAAGGCCCAAGCATAGATAAAACAACGTATATCTTTTCGATTCGACTTTCAAACCTCTCACTATAATAACGATTACAGGTTGAGTAAAAAAACAAATGGAAGGTCAGGCAAAATGTGAACATTAATTTAATCCACATTGTGTACTCTAACAGGAAACCCTCAATGATACAAATGGGATGATAAACAGACGGGTTTTTGTCATAATTGATAAATACCACTTGTAGAACACATACCACAGAGTACAGCATAGCTGCAAAGACTTGGTAAATTGCCAGACGATGAAAAAAGACCCCAAAGAGCTTAAAGTAAGCAGCCATAGCTATTGCAATTAAGCAGACAACGATTGCAGCAACTCCCACTGTAGACATTGACACCAATATTTCTTCATGGTGAGGAATAAGTTCAGGCTCGCCCATCATTTTTTAGGTGGAAAGAGAAGACCTGAGATCTAATTATAGTTTTCCCGCCGTTTGCATAGATCTAGTTCATAGATATTCATAGTGTAGATCTAATAAACATGATTGCATGGTTAATTCATAGGTATTTCAATTATTTACTTAAACTTTATAGCAACAATGATTAGGAGAAGGAAACAAAGCAAGACAATAGAAACACTGAATGCTTATGAACAGTTTAACAAAAATTAATAAAAAGCAAACAAACACACTCAATTGGGAGTTAATTCATTGTTTTATAATCTTGCTGGTTGCTGGAGTGAGCTAAACTTGCCCTTTCGCTCATACTATTCAGGTTTTCTTCACGTGCAACTTCACCTTGTGTATTTGAATACCGTTTAAAAATAACAATGTGAATAATGAGAGAGACCCCAGCCAAGAGTCCTACCAATGGTAGTGATATAGCACTCCACATAAAACTAGTAAGATTTGGACTTTTAGAAATAGAACCAATTAATCGATTAATGAATGCTGGTATGTAGAAAGCAAAAGATAATATTGGGTAACTTACAAGTGGTAGCATCACTTTTAAAGTTTTTTTTCTTTCAGTTTGCACCCAGTTTGAACTGCTATCTCTATAGCCACAGCAATTATAAGCCTCTCGTATAATTGTTATTATTATGACTACAAAAGCAACACCGGACAACAGTAGACAAATAAGAGCAGGGCCATATAAAAGAAAGTACTGCTCATATTCTCCCTCAGGTAGGTTATCTGATGCATTATCATTTTTCCAGTTTTGTATCCAGCACCAAGCCCCAGCCAAACCATAAATGATTCCGCTTGAGTTGATGCTAACAAACGGTATCCAAGTAAACAGCAAAGGCCCAAAAATAGATACAAGTATGTATATTGTTTCGATTCGATAAATTAGATTGTGAATTCTTTCACAGCAACGGGTACAAATTAAGTAAAAAAACAAATGGAAGGTCAGGCAAAATGTGAACATTAATTTAATCCACATTGTGTACTCTAACATGAAACCTTCAATGACACAAATGGGGTCATAAACAGAGGAATTTTCGTCACTTTCGTCATAATTGATAAATACCACTTGTAGAACACATACCACAGAGTACAGCATAGCCGCAAAGACTTGGTAAATTGCCAGACGATTCGGAAAAAAGACCCCAAAGAGCTTAAAGTGAGCAGCCATAGCTATTGCAATCAAGCAGACAATCATTGCAGCAACCCCTACTGTACCCATTGACACCAATATAACGAACTTTTCATGGTAAGAAAGAAATTCAGACTCGTTTCCATGACCCATTTTTTGATAAAGAAGTAGAGCAACCTTGTCCCGTAGGAGTTAACTGGCGTAGTTATGTGGTCCCAAAGCATTTGTGCCCCCAAAGCATTTGTACCCCCAATTATAACCGTAGTATGGTCATTTCCTGTTTGTGAGAGTAGCTTTAATGTATCATGGTTATTAAAACATAATGAATGAAGTACTACTACTGAACAATTATTAAAAACAGGCACATACAGCCACTGCTAAGCTGAATGTGTACTAACTGCAGCTGCTGATTAATTAAAATAGTTCCTCCTCAACGATACCTAACGGTTGATTGAGGTCGGAACTTGCTCTCAATGGTGTCCTCATAGTTATCAGCTCTCCTATAAAAAGTATAAAAATGCATCCTCTGATATATAACTAATAATAATTATTCACTTTGATGGATCTCTGTGACGTTTATTTTTGCCAACATGAGGATAACGGAAGTGAACAAATACTGCTATTAATACAAAGGCTGCAATCACGAAAAAGCAAACAAGAGGCAGTGCTATTTGTACTAGTAGAAAAAAACAATAATAGTTTGAATTATTGCAACTAACATTCTAATTGTTCCGTCTTAAATTTCTCCTTTTCCCTTTCCTCCTCTTCCTCCAATTCAAGATTCAATTCTTCTACGTATTCATAAAAGCCTTTAAAAATTAAAAATTAGCAAGTTACTTGTGAAAATCCACAATTACCTATGCAGTGATTTTTATAGACTAAAGTACCATCATGGCATCTTGTACAGTGACCAATTCCACTACAGTTAAGACAGTAGCTCATGCCACAAGCTTTAAAAAAAGAGGAAAAAATTAGCTTGTAAGTGGTATGTAAAATAGTAAAGCAATGCTATTATAATATAACAAACTCCTTTTGGATCAGGTGTCCAACCAGACAAACACACTCCTGTACACAGAATGTCCTATCAGTATCAGTCTCACTGGTACCATGTGAATCTTCTCCTTCTTCTGTTGCTCTCTTCTTCTCGTGATGGCCTTCTTCTTCTTCACCTAATAATAAGTAAAAGCAGATTCTATTTTTAACAAAAATTGGCTCCAAATCATCCAGAAATGTTATTGTGTGACATATAATGTACTTACGCTTCCAACTAAAAATTTTTAAGTTATGAGTATTTTTAAAATCGACTAATTTTTGAAAAAAGCAAAGGCTATAGCCCATGGATTTTTTTCAAAAACGGCTCCAAAATCACCCCAAATATTTATTACATTTTCTGATACACATTTACGTCTTTATGCTACGTAGCAAGTTTGAGCTGTTTTTGACAAATATTTTTTGAGTTATGGTCATTTAAAAAAATTAGCCAATTTTAAAAAAATACCCAAGGCTATATATGGTTTTTTTCCAAAAAATGGCTCTAAAATCCCCAAAATTTTTATTACATTTTCTGATACATATTTGATGTCCTTATGCTATACAGAAAGTTTGAGCCAATTCCGACAAATATTTTTCGAGTTATGGTCATTTTTTAAAATCGTCCAATTTTTGAAAAATACCCTATAGCCCATGGTTTATTCTGAAGAATGGCTCCAAAATCACCCCAAATATTTATTACATTTTCTGATACACATTGATGTCCTTACGCTATGTAGCAAGTTTGAGCTATTTTTGACAAATATTTTTTAAGTTACGGTCATTTTTTAAAATTGGCCAATTTTTGAAAAATACCCAAGGCTATAGCCCATGGTTTTTTTTCCAAAAAATGGCTCCAAAATCATCCCAAATTTTTTATTACATTTTCTGATACATATTGATATCCTTATGCTATACAGAAAGTTTGAGCCAATTCCGACAAATATTTTTCAAGTTATGGTCATTTTTAAAAATTGGCCAATTTTAGAAAAAAAGCAAAGGCTATAGTCCATGGTTTTTTTCTGAAAAATGGCTCCAAAATCACCCACAATTTTTTATAACCTTCTGATACATATTTATGTCTTTATGCCATGTAGAAAGTTTGAGCAGATTCTAAGAAAAAATTTTTGAGTTATTAAGAAAGCAATTTATTTTTTGAAGAGAATGGACTTGTCTTGTAGTCTATGAATATTGACCAAAGAGCAGCTCCATTACCTGGTGATCCAACAACACTCTCTGGCACTCTTGATTCTGGATTAGCAAGGAATTGATAATAACCAGAGGGACATGCTACATTAAAAACAGATTAATTCATGTGCAATAATACAAAAAAATTGATTTCTACCTTCACAGCAACAGCTTGTTTGATTTAATAGATATTGGTTCTGACAGTCAGTAACAGTTAGCAAACAATCTAAAAATTAATGATAAATAATCATAAGAATCTACTTACCTCTGCAGTTGCTGCCTCCAAAATTGTGAGGACATTCACATTCATTCCCATTCATAGGATTAGGGGTTCCATTATTAGGACAGTTAGCATTAGGAAGACACTGTCCATTGTATTCACA